TCTTCATCAGCCTCTGCGGATCAATCATCTCAATTTTCTCACCACCCAGAATACTTGACTCTCCCTGCGGGGAATGAATGATGTTTGCCCTGTCGCTGGCCCCTCCTTCCTGCTACGACCGCCTTTCCCTTTTGCACCCGTCTCTTCCTTTGTTCCCCTTGCGTCCGTCTCTTTTTCTTTTTCCATTTTGTGCAGTACAGTTTCCTCAGAGATTGTCGCCAGCAGATCCTCTTTCGCAAAGGTCCTCCTATTGCTGCTGAAGCGAGCGATCGAGCAATCAGCTTCCCTCCTGCAAAGTGGTTTCTTTTGTGCTACTTTCTCTTGGCGGTGCTGTTGCGTCCTCCTCCGCTGCACGCCTTGTTTGTGCTTGCTCCTGTGGACTTGGACCCTCGCGGCGGGAGATCAACGGTGTTTTTCTGTCGAGGTTAGGGCAGTTATGACGAGAGCCAGATCCGCGGCGGCGGCGGCGGCGGCGGCGGCGGGGAATAAGCAACGAGAGGCGATCGTTGTTGATCTTGAGATGAACGACGACGAGGAGGTGGTTGAGGCTGCCGGGGAGGAGGACAATTTGGCTTCGGCCAACGGCGGCGGCGATGTGATGGATGATGCAGGTAACGACGAAGAGGAGGACGCCGATGCCAACGAGGCGACCGAAGAGGACGGTGATGAAGTGAACGACGAAGAGGCTGAGGGCGGCGGAGAAGAGTATGGCGACCAGGAAGCCGATCCTGAGCACGGTGATGGCATGGACGACGCAGAGGGAGGTGAGAAAGAGCCGGAGGACTTAAAGCCGGCAACGAAGAAGGAAGTTAGTAAGGATCCACTGGACAGGCCGCCTCACGGCTCCGAGGTTTTTCTTGGTGGAATTGGGCGGGATGTCTCTGATGACGAAGTGCGCGAGTTTTGTCTTCCGTGCGGCGAGGTCTACGAGGTAAGTCGTTTTGCTCACCCACACGATCCTCTAATCTTGTCCTTAGTCGCCCTGTTTGCTTGCGATGTGCCCTGCGTATCTCCTTTTATTATATTTTGCTTACTTTTGTCTGTTTGGCGGTATCTCTGTCGGGACTACATTTGTTTTCCGTCTTCTATCAATTTCCTGAACTATGGATGGACACGCTCCCGAATGATCAAATAAGAATCTGCACAGTGCTCGTCTTGCTTGTTCCTCCCTGTGGAAGGCAGTTTGTTTGCACTGACATTCATGGACACGCTCCCGAATGATCAAATCAGAATCTGCACAGTGCTCGTCTTGCTTGTTCCTCCCTGTCGAAGGCAGTTTGTTTGCACTGACATTCTTTTGAACCTCGTATGGAACAAAACATTAGGGCCAAGCTTGGCTCCTGCTGTGGCCGGTGCAGAGCGAGGGACGCGCGCTCTTTAGATTCGTGCCCGTGAAACGAATATTTCACGTTGTGATCGTGTTTCGCAATCAGCTTGCATGGATTGGGAGTGTAATAGGACATAGTATCTCTTGGTAATTGTCGGTTATAGAATCAGGGTTTGCTACGTTTGGAAATGTTTGCGCTCTTCTTGTATTTTTTTCACGCTGTTAGGTCTTGGGGGGCGCCTTGTCATGTCAGGTTAGCAGCAGCGTCAGTTGGGATAACATGACCATAAAGAACCGCAGAAGATTAATGCGCACTGTCACGGTTAGTGCTTCTCTTGACGGAAATAGTGAGGGTATTTAGAGAGAGGAGCGGTATTTGCAGTTTCTCCGGAGGTGCTCGTGGAATAGCTCCTTCCCGATGACTTTCGTCACGAAGAGAGGGGATACGCTGAGTAATTGTTTTCTATATTTATTTGACCGCAATGATGCCAGTTTTGAGCGATCCCCTGCGTGCGTTGTTGGAAGGGTTATAGTGCAGGGGAGGGGCGCCAACGAACGAGAGGACGATCTGTGACCATGACCAATTCTGGTCGGCGCCCCGAATAGTACGAGAGAAGGTTGCGAAAAATGGGGAGAACAGAGATAGAGCAGTATTCCCCTCCCGGTGGTCAGTTGACAAGCTTCGAGAGCGGAGATGCTCACCCAGCTGTTCTTATTATAATGTAATCTGTTGTGCAACAGGTCTTTCTGTAGTGCAACACGTCGGTCTACTATGATAACACATCAACAGTTATCTTGAATTACTATGACCTTATTTCTTTTATTTTTAGTCAAGATGTACATCTGAGGACGGTATGCGTGTGTTCTTGCTCCAGCTATCGTGACGGGGGCTGGTTGTTATCGATGGCGGTAGCGGTTGCGACCGTCCACGTATTTTGGGGTAATTTTGTTTTTTTTGATACAGCGATAATAACGTTGCGTTTAATTCGTATGTCGACGATAGGGACATGACTGGAGTCCCTGCTTTATGAGGTGAAATGATACGTTCTCCGCTGTTTCTGATACCAATATCGAATTACTTCGCAACGGCAACTGGACCTGAATGACTAATGCAGGTTGGGTTGTTGTGGCTTTCAGGATTTTCTGCGGATTGATCTAGGACACTTCCCAGTAAAGTGTCTTTATGTACCCTTTGAGCGTTGTTCATCCGCGCTGCTCTTCCAGTAAGTTCTCTGTGGGGACGTTATTCTGAGAAGCACGTTTAGCTCGAGAAGCAGTTGTGATTTAACGAGGGCATCACGCCGCTGCGTTGATGTCTGAAAATAGAGCGCCCACTTTGGCCTGTTTCGTGTTGGGCATCGTCTCTTGGCAGGATTGTTGTTCAGCGCCCACTTTGGCCTGTTTCGTGTTGGGCATCGTCTCTTGGCAGGATTGTTGCAGATGAGCGTCTCCTCTTTTACGTGAGCGCGCATGTTTTAAGTTTTTCGTTTAGTTACCCAATCGAAACTCGCAAGCTCCTACGCCTTCTTGAAATGAAGGACAGGAAGTCGAGGAGGTGTGAGGACTTTCCGTGCGGCGAAGGAGGGCGAAGGAGACGGAAGTTTAGGGTCGACGCACTGTGTTTGTGAGTGGTAGGATTTCTAGCTTGAGCGTGCAATGTAAGTTGTTGTCGATGGCTTTCATTACACGGTGGAAGGCTGCTACCCTATTCGTCAGGGCAAAATGTGTTTGTGTGCGTGTGTGGGCGAGGGAAAAGGTGCCGAACTCACGAACTCGCAGCCTGGTACTCCGTTGAGGCTCATGAGAGATGCTGAAAGAGGTCTCTTATCTAAACTAATGATCAATTGACGACTGCTCTCTTTAGATGCGTTGAACTCGGTAACGCAACTGACGACACCTGTGAACGACGACTGCAAGGCGGACCTGTTATGAGAGGGGGCCACGCCGATGCGCGTATACCCCACCGTCTTCCCCGAACACAACGCACCCTCATTATGAATGTACACAAGCTAGATTTCCGGTCATTACAGTCAAGACGGGGGTGCGTTATGTTCGGGGGAAGACGGTAGTAGCTCGGAGGACGGTTGTGGCATCGGGCCTCGCTCCAGCACTCCCAAACGTGCAAAATGAGAATGAATCTTGCGGTAGAACATGGGAATATACAACGCCATATTGTTTGTGCATGTGGTGAGTAGTGGAGCGAGAGGTCCATGAACTACTCGAAGCGGATATGCGCCGTGGCGCCCATACCTCTCAACCGACTACCTACCTCGACTACCTACCTCTCAACAGACTACCTACCTCTCAACCGACTACCTATCAGAACAAGTTAGCAGAATGGAATGGGATCTTGAGCCGTCTGAAACGTAGCTGGAAAGTTTCATGGGAAGGGTACGTATTTTTATTTTTTCTGTATTGTAGTTTTCTGGGAAGGCTATGTATGAGGCCGCGCCGTTGGTTCGGCTGGTCGTGGGACTGAGGGCTGTACAATGGGGTGATCAGGACGCCCCACCACCGTAAGGTGGCTGGCGTCCGTTCGAAAGAAGTCGTCGTCGGAGGTACTTGTGGTCTGAGAAATGGATGGTCCTTCTTGACTAGATATTCCTCTGACCTGGTTAAAAAGAATTTGTCGCTCGAGCTGGTGGAAGAAGGGCCACGTGAGAGAGTATCCGTACGAACGCGAGTTATAGACGACAGGAACTGTCCCTGGTTCTCTCATTACGAGGTAGTCCTGGTCTCTTCATTTGCACAATTTTGAGTCTCTCCCCGTTGGACGCTGCCGGGTTTTGGGATGTGCAAACGGTAACCGAAACGGGGATCTTTCTTTGACCGTTGGTTGTCTTCTCAGCACCTCAAACGGGTTCTGAGTATGGGCCGTGTATCCGTATTTGTCGAGCTATGCACGATGATGAAAGGCGATGGGATCTTCAACGAACGTAGGGGTGGTCGTCCTTACGTTAGCGTCCATTGGAACACTGTTGGTGAAGTTGTCCTGCTTCATCAGCAAGTTCGTTCCTACATCGTAACGGCTCACCGCGACAGCCCTTTTGCGTGCGGCGGAATATCGGACGGAGGCGGAAGTCTGCATCCAACCCTCGTAAAAGAGTTGTTTTAAGCATCCATGATACTCCATGTCTTCGGTGAATCAGCAGTCATTGCGTGTTTATGGGCAAGTTGCAGCGTCTTTGCTTCGTAGGTCCTCCCAGTGAAATATAGAAAAAGGAGTTTTATGGCACCTTACATTAGGGTAAATGAGGTTAAAGGGGGGTTATCTGCGGGGACTTCAATTTCGCAGCTCGGATCCCTGTTTTTGAATTACCTTCAATTTCTGATCTCTTTTATCGCTTGTTGTTTTTTATGTATCCATTCTCGGCGTTTTCCTTTCCGTGCCGTTCCCGCGTTTCTCAAGCCGCTCTCTTCCTGTTGTATGTGTGTGTGTGTGTGTGTGTGTGTGAGAGAGAGAGAGAGAGAGAGAGAGAGAGAGAGAGAGAGAGAGACGAACAAGCAGAGCCGTTGCAGTACCGAGAACATGGATTTACGCGAGGATGTCAGTGGCCCCCGTCGACCGGCTCGCCCCGGTCTTACTGACGAGCAAAGTTGCCTGCGCGTCTTAGCTATCTCCCTCGTTCGCATGCGAACTATCTGTGACTCCACTTGAGAGTCTCGCTCTTTCGTTCCGCGTCGGCGCAAATTTGTCTGATATCCATGTCCTCGCTCTGTATGCCTGGGAAGAATGGGGTTCGTCAAACGCATCTTGCGTCACCCATTGCCACACGTTTCAGTACGTCCGAATCATCGTGTGACTATTCCCATCGTGCGTCCATAGCGTCATGGGACACCTTTTGCGCTCCCCTTCGCCCCCAATACTTGTTCAAAACATCTTGCGATTCCCACGCACATCGCACAATACAGCGAACATGACAGCACACACACACTCACACTCACAGAGAGAGAGAGAGAGAGAGAGGGGGGGGGGGGTGCAGCGCGTTCACGGGTATGTGGAGAGAGAGATAGAGAACATCTTGCGATTCCCACGCACATCGCACGACACAGAGACACACACATAGAGAGAGAGAGAGAGAGAGAGAGAGAGAGAGAGAGAGAGAGAGAGAGAGAGAGAGAGGGGCAGCGCGTTTACCGGGGTGTGGAGAGAAAGAGAGAGGGGGAGGGACAGCGCGTTCAACGGGGTGCAAAGGAGATTTGTATGGTGAGGGAGAATAGGTGTAATTAAGGATTGGGGGGGTAAAAGAGCACTTTAGCATCCGCTAGAAACGGAGGGCACGGGCACGGCAATACAACGGACGCGTGGTATGGATTATGAATATCACCAGTACGTTGTGATTCGATGGACTGTGGTCGTGGCAAATGTGCTTCTGGAGATGCATCCCCCAAGGACATGTAGACGTTTCGTGGAGGCTTGCGCTCTCGTAAGAAAGGAAGTTTTCTTGCGGCATGCATACGCCTGGGAAACTTGAGTCTGTGGGGGTTGGGAATCTTGTCTGTGGGGGGACTAGGAAGAGGCCGTCTGTCGTCATAATTTTTCTATTAGTGTGCACAATCGAAGTCCGGTTTTGTCATTTGCACCGTGCAAGATCCGGTCCTGGGAGTTGGGATCACGTGGTATGGAGGGTTTTCATTCGTTACATACACAGCGAGGCAGTTTCTTCAGTGGCAGTGGTTTTCACCGTTGAAGTTAGCCGATATGTGAAGGTGATGTTTTGTTGTTAATTTCGCTGATATGAAGTTAGCCGATATGTGGAGACGATGTTTTGTAATCAATTTCGTGTGTTGTCATCGCTGACATCGTGGAAGCCGAAGGCGAAATTTAGACATCACTCCAAAGCCGTTCCTCTCCTGTTATGGAGGCATCGAGCACGTCCTTTGGCATGTGCGAGGACATTGTGCTTTCATGTGCACGGGTGTTGTGCATGGATTTGCATGCTGCTGCAGACGAATGAGGGACTGTTCTCAATGCACGGTGATGGACTGTTTTGCATTGAGTAGCGTTTGTGTGGTAGTCTCATGAAGCGTTTCATGTCATCAAGCCGCCCCTTTTGGTGTGATTGGCTGATCGAGTATTTTCTGTTAGCGAGCCAGCCACTGGGAGCTGTAATTGTTGCCGGTAGGAACAACATACATGATAGCTTTGTCTTTACATGTGGGAACAATATGCCTGGTAGTTATTGTTTTTGAAGTGTCGCCTTTTGAGAGATGGTTAACCGACCCCCCATTTTTCACCTCAATTTATAAGAAAACCATAAGGCCCGCCTTTTATGGCCACGGGGAGGGTGGAACGCACTTTTGGGGTTTCTTCGTGTCTGTGAGGATTCTGCCCGTGCTATCCTCGGGATAGAAGAGCAACCTGAAGCTCGCAATTTGTTCCTGTTCGTCATATGTCATGTCATCAGTTATCGGAATTGTTGAACTGTCAGATCCGTGACTCTGGTGAAATTAAGAAAGCGACGGAACAACGTAAAGAAGAGCAATGCGTCAGTGCCAGGAAAACTGCGGCTTATTGCTATGCCCTAGAAGCTGCACGGTTGTTGTACATACGCATGCAGGGTTTTCTTGGGACTGAAAACGTGAACGCAGGTTGAAATCAACAAAGCGACGGAACAAAGTAAAGAAATGCGCTTTGTTTTGACCCTATTTTTGTGGATTTGGTTGACTGTATTTGTTGCGAATTTTGGGTTGTGCACTTCGTGCTGTTTGACATGGGTTTTCTTGGGACTGGAAACGTGTGCGCAGGTTCGATTGGTGGTGGACAGGGAGACTGGACAGTGCAAAGGTTATGGATTTGTCACATTTATGAATAAGGAGTCGGCACAGAAGGCGATCGAGACGCTCAACGAGACCGAGTTCAAGGTACACTCAGCAGGCGAAAGGATTTCCATGTGTGCCTCTGCTGAATGGTTATGCGCTGATGCCGTGTATCAATCTTAATTGCTTGTTTCTGAATGACGAATCTCATGGATCGGCTTTCTTTTTTTGCGAATGACGAATCTCATGGATCATGAGGGAGGAAAAATTTGAATGATTTTTGCATTCTTGTGCCGAATGAGAAATCTTGTGAACGTATGCATGGTTGTAGAAATTTTGCTTTGCTGAAGCCAAGTTGCTTTTCTCAGTGTTTTGGAAGTCCGAAAATTTATCCTTTTATCTCGCATATCTCTCATGACGTGGCTGAGATCACGGTAGATTGATTGCCGACTGGTGCCGGTTTCTCACTGCGTCTTCTTTATTGTTCCCAGGGTAAGAAGATAAGAGTTACACCGTCGCAGTCAAAGCACAGGCTTTTTATTGGGAACATCCCCAAGCTCTGGACAAAGGAGGAGCTCTTGAAAGCCTTATCAGACGAGTCTGCTGGAATTGAAAGTGTGGATCTGCTGCAGGTTAGTTTTGGTTCTGTGGAATTCCTCAATACAGCGTTTTCTTCTCTTTTTTCTGAGCAAACCTCCCACTCTCAAGTCATGTCACAGGGGTTGAACTATAGTCAAGCTCAACAGGGTTTTCTTTCCCCGCCGATTCTTCCTAGCCCGTTCGCTCGGCTAGCAAAACGGACCAAAATCTTTGCAAAGCTATTTCATAGTAGCAAGCGAGTTTCTATGAAATAGCTTCGCAAAGATTTTGGTCTTTTTCTGTTCAGCCTAGTAAGTAGTAACGTGATCTGGCGTGTTGACCCGAAGTGAAGAGGTTGGCAATGTGGTGCGATTGAATACATGTGAACGCTGAGGCAACACAAATGATGGCATTGTTTGTTGTAGCTGTGTATGCAAAGGATGAGGTGAAGTTACAGTAGCGCCACACAGTTATGGCATTGTTTGGTGAGCAACCAGAAGTTAGGTGCAGAAAGTAAAGGAAAAGGGAAACTGATCTCTCGAGTGGTTGCCGGCAGTTTGAACAGTTTGCGTCTTGAGCTGGAATCATGGCTGCTCCTCTTTGTTCGTGATGGTCGTGAGTTTTTGTTCGTGGTGGCTGTGGTTAATGGCCGACCACAAGATTTTAGGACCGGCTGCTAATCGCAGCCATTTTTTGGTGTGCAAAGGTCACGGATTCTTTTGTTATAGAGGAAGAGAGGTGGTGGAGGAAAAAAAGGAGCGGAGGGTTCTTTTTACCCTTTTCTTTTTCCAAATGTTGCGAGGTGGCGGAGGACGAGGAGCACAATAGTATGGAGTAACGAGCGGTGGAGACGAGGAGGAAGATGGAGGTAGTGGCTCTCCATGCGAACCCTGTGAGGAGAAGTAGGATTCTGATTTTCATTTTTGTTTTCTCTATAATATCTTCGGCATTGAGTGGATGCGGAGCATACTGAGAAGCAGGGTGATGGAGATCTATCTTTGGCATTGAGGGGATGCAGGACGTGCCGAGCAACAGGGTGATAGATAGATGTGGAGGTAAAAACGGAGAGAGTCTGTGAAGTAAGGAAAGGGTAGAGAGAGATTCAGTTATCCAGTGGTTGACACTGTGCCCGAGTACCTGTGTTGCATGCATGGGAAGGGGAGCAGGGTCAATGGTGAGGTAGTGGAGGCATCGATGTGTGGAGAGGTCAGCAAGCTGAAGGGTGTTTTCTGTTGTTACGCGGGACCTGTGCACTACGGAAATCTGGATCCATACCCGGACTTCCTGGGTGCGTCCAAATTGCCTGCGTATATGCACAATATCAAGACCAACCATATCTCTAAACTAGGGACTACCCGGGTGAGTCCGCCTATCCCTCATGGAAACAAGTGAAATGGGTTAAGTCTTCCTAACAAATAGGATTATTCTCTCACACTTCTGCACCACTGTGCCACCTGCTTCTGGCATTCTCACAATGCAAATAGAGCAGGATAGTAGTGCATGAAAAAGAGGAATCTCTGACGAAAGGGGCATGAGTAATCTGACAATCAAAATTCCTCACAGCTCGGTAGGCACTAGAGCAAAATAACAGCACGAGAGAGTGAGGGAGCTGTTTTTGGATCCCGAACTGTCAGAGCACTGTGAGGATCTGCTGTCCGTTTGCCTGCATTTCCTTTTCGTTTCGTCACTGATGAGCTCGCTGTTTTGCCCTTCTTAGGAATTACAGAAACAGTCTTGTTCTGTTTATTGCTTTTCTGTGGAAAGTGGTGGTTACTGCAACAAAGTTTTGCTGAGATTTGCATTGTTTATCTTGTTTGTTTCCATTTTTCTTGGGTTCTGGCCGCCATGAGGTCAGAGGGATGGCAGAAGGCAATGGGAAATGCCCCCATGCTGTTAGAGTTGCGTTGTTGGGGCATGTCTCGTCAGCGTACTTGACGTTGTGGACGTCTGGTCCAAAAAACCGTTGTCTTGTGTTGCCAGCGTACTTGACCCTGTGGAGGTCTTTCCCACTGGTCTGGATTGTTTGACTTCGCCCTAAAAACAATGCGGACACCTCCCCTGACTTCTTACCCTTCGGGTCCCCCTCCTGCTGTAAGCATGGTTTTATCAACTCGAGCTTGTGGAGGTGACAGGAGTCGGAGAGGGGAAGTCAAAGATGTGGTAGGAGGTAGTGGCGGAGTGATGGTTTAATGAACATCCGGAGGGAGGGACAGATGTGTTTTTCCCTCTCCCTGAGGGGGAGGATGGTAAAGAGTTGTTTTTCCCGGTCACTAATATGGTTGCGCAAGGGGATGGTTGCGCAAGGGGATCCAAAAGAGGACGATGACCGATTGAAGCAAGACAAGCAGGAAGCAGGAGAGCAAGGAGAGCACAGCAGTGCTACACTTGCCCACATCTTTTTGTGCACATTGCATGTCGATTGTTTTCCTGTGGCGGTATGGAAGAAACTCCTGCCAGCACATCCGAGGCAGAGAGAGGGGGGGAAGTAGGGGATGCCATTGCATCATGTACTCAGATTGCATGTTTTCCACTGCCAGCTCACATCCTACGAACAGTAGTTCACAAGAACAGGCGGTAATGATTTGGTAACGACTTAGATAAGGTGCACCGTGTGACTACTGGTTGGTTCTTGCAAAACTCTGTGCTTCTACTTATGCCTTCAGTTTTCTCTGTCTAAAATTTTCAGTATTTAATCTTCTTCTTTCAGTGGAAGCAGCAGTAGTTCCGACAGTGACCCATCCCAACTTGCTGCAGGTTGTTGATTAGGGTCAACTTGTGATGACCCGTCCAAACATGGACTGAAACACACAGCTGATTTCTGAGTTCTGCTCATAGACTGAATGCCTTGCTGAGTTTCCCGCCTGCTACTTAGTCTGTGTGTGCATGCTTGCTGGACTGCATGTCTGTCTGAGTGCTGGTTGGCTTGGGTGTGTGTGTGACCGTGCCTGTCTGAGTGCTGGTTGGCATGAGTATGTGTGTGGCCCGTCAGGGCACTTGCTCGTTCGTTGGGTCCTCAGGGCGTACTTACCTGTGGCCGTGACATTGAGGGGTTGCAGCGGGGAAAAGCACTCAAGTAGTGGGTAGGCCGGTACCGCACCTGGAAGGGGTACAAGTGGCATTTTTAGAGGTCCAGTAGTGTAGGCTAGGTCTAGGCAAATACCAGTCTGAGTCTAGGGCCTGTACGGGCAATATCAGAGTCTGCAATGATGTTTCCCTCCAAAAAGGAGGTACCGGTTGCTTGGGAGGCCAAGCGGCCTGGAAGTCACCGCCCAAGAGGCAAAGCAGGCCGCTATATCTTCGGGCTGGGCGGAGAGTCCGGCCTCTTTTTCGGTGTGCAAGTTTGGCGACACACTGGTGGAGCGCTGGCTGGAGCAGCGCTATGCTGGAGCAGCGCTGCTGGGGAGGAAGGAGAAGGACACGAGGAAGGAAGGGGGGAGGAGCGCCAGGGTACTAACCTGGCTATGGTGGCAGCCATCTTCATCACCTTGGTGGGCGCTGTAGCAGGGAGTCCCCAACTGGGGAGAGCCACACCAAGAAGCTTCAAGGCAGCGTTGGGCATGGCGACCTGAGCTAGAGCAGCCATAGCTGCTTTGGGTTGTCATTTGGGCATCTGGGCAAGGCCTAGTAGTCCGCCATAGCCTCGGCCTATGAGAGTGAAGAGTGGGAATGCGGCCATGGCTATGGTGGACCTCAAGTGATACCTGCAGTAGAAGAGGGACTCGGACATTGATTCTGGATCAGCCATTCAACATTGTATTATTATTTCTTGTATGAATAAGAGAAGGGGGAGATAAGGAGGAAGAGATTGTTGGGCGAAGAAGAAGAGCCTTGTCATTGTCTTTGCTGGTGTACGTCTTCTTCTTCTTCTTTCTTCTTCTTCTAATCCTCTCTCTCTCCTCTCAAGTTCATTCATTTCTTTCTGCAATTGGACGGCATTGTACTTTCTGATAGATGTGTATCTCGAAATTGGCCAGGATCATAACGAACTTGCTTATTGACATGACTTGCGACGTTTTGCTATGTCTCAGGATCCATCAAACCCACACAAGAACCGCGGTTTTGCTTTTGTGGAATATTATAACCATGCAGCAGCAGAACAGGCTAGAAGAGTTTTGTCGAAGCAATCCTTTTTGCTGGGGGGAAGGACTCCAACTGTCAACTATGCAGAAAATCGCACTGAGCCAGATGCAGCTGCGATGGCACAGGTATGCGGACTTGAGTAGTCCTTGGATTGATGTTGAACTGCAGTGCTTTTGTTCTGCTTTGATACTGTGGATTGGGTTCTGTGCATCCTCTCTCAACGTCAAGGGGGCTCGCGGAGTGTCTGCTTTGGATTTCTGATGATCCAATATATGCAGGGGGCTTCATGTTGTCTAAGGGTGTGTTTGGACGAGCGGATTCTTACAGTACTATGTGCTAATTGACTCTTGTAGAGGGATTTGAAGTGTTTATCACAACAACTCTCTGCTGAACGGCAGACGCCTTTCATTTTGAAGTGTTAGGTCAGGGGCTGTGGAGAATTGGGGCTGAGGACTGCTGTGGGTGGTTTATTTATGCATCTTTCTACGCTTTGTCTTAATGGACAAAGTAGTGCCCTACCTGTACGCTCTCTTCTTTTAATTAAACAAGTTTCTTCTTTTAATTAAACAAGTTTCTTCTTTTAATTAAACAAGTTTCTTTTAATTAAACAAGTTTCTTCTTTTAATTAAACAAGTTTCTTTTAATTAAACAAGTTTCTTTTAATTAAACAAGCTTCCTTTTCGCATCTCCCTCCATCCTAGCGCCCTGCTCCTCCATCAACCTCGAACATTTTCTCTCTTACAGATGAGCAGAAAGACGAAGAAGGAAGGAGGCGGCGGCGGAGAAGAAGGCTCCCGAGGGAAAGGGGTGGACGATGGAGCGGAGGAGGACAAGGATGTATAGAGAAAGGAGGAAGAAGAAGATTTGTCTTAGCTTTCTTCTCTTTCTCCATCCCAGCGCCCTGCTCCTGGATCGTCCTCCAGCCTCCCATTGATCGATATTCCTCCCTCCGGCATACGTTCCTCCCCTTTCTCGGCGGCTGTGATTGGGTTGAGGTCGGATGGGATGATGGGTTGGATCCAGAGGCATTGGGCAGGTCGGGATGGGATTGGATGGGATCAGGTCGGGATGGGATTCAATGGGATCAGATTGGGATCGGGTTACCCCGCTCTGCCATCTCTCATCTCTCCTCGTCAGTGCGTGCAGCGCTAAACGTTCCCTCTCTCCTCTTCCTCCCTCCTTTCTTCTACTTCCCTCTTCCCCATCATCCAACTTACGTTCCTCATGTTTCTCGTTGTCCTTCATTGTCGTAGCCATATCGGCCTCCTTTGTTGAGCCCCTCCAGTTTCTATCGTTTAACATCGTCACGATGCCTTCTGAGACAGAGAGAGAAGCAAGGCATCATTGCGCTGCTGTCAACTGTCGAGGACGACCGAAGGGGGGTTGAACGGCGTTTCTCTCTCTCTCTCTCTCTCTCTCTCTCCTCGTTGAGGTAAGTCGTGGTTATCTCCCCCTTGCTTCTTTTTGGCTTCTCCTACGCCGCCTCCTCTCCTGAACCATGTCGTCTTCGCCCCCCCGCACTTAGGCGTACCACCACCTCCTCCCTCTCTTCCCTCCTCCTACCTGCCTCCTTTGTGTCCCAGTTCCCTGTCCTTCCCCGTTATTGCCGTTATCACCCCCTTTCTCACTTCACCCCCTTTCTCACTTCTTTTCGAATTCTCCTCCTCTCCCCACCTCCACCTGCTTCGATTTGTCTCCCTTACCCAGTTCAATATCGTTACTCCATGGATGTATCTGTCCGCAATTACAACTGGACTTGGATGTAATTGCGATCAGATACATTCGCGTCCAATCTCCCACCATCGTCATCCTGCATTGTCCTCTCTCATTTGTCATTGATCGTCATTACACACACACACACACTCACACACACACATCCACGTCCAGTTTCAGGCATGGGCCAAGATCGGCATGGCGGATATAGCAGGTTGAGGGGGCGTTGCATAGTGCACCCTCTCGCTGAAAGTGTCCAAACGCATGTAGTGAACTGTGTAGTGGAGCGAGCCGCATTAGCGGAGTGAACGAATCGCTCACGAACACGCGCTGCTCGGACACACTGGGCGTCAGAAAGGCAAAAAATATGGCCATGTATCTTTCCATGTTCTAGTGGACGATTCAGTCCCATTTTGCACGTTTGATGAGCAGCAGAGCGAGGCCTGCCAAACCCGACATCTTTCCCTAAGTGTTAGGTCAGGGGCTGTGGAGCATTGGGGGTGAAGAGTGCAGTGGGTGCTTTATTTATGCATCTTTCTACGCTTTGTCTTAATGGACAAAGGAGTGCCCTACCTGCTCGCTTTCTTCTTTTAATTAAATTCATTATCCAGACCTTGTCTGTGTCTTTGACGGATGTTCCTTGAAATTTCTGTGGTTGGAATTATCATTGGTTTGAGGCACATGGATTTGTTTCTTGGGTCTTTTGTAGCATTTGAGTCTTCTCATAGCCTGTGAATGTTGTGAATGAGCGCAGGTCAAAGTTGTGTATGTCAGAAATCTTCCCGAGTCAGTGACGGAGGATTACCTACGAAAACTTTTTGAAAAGCACGGAGAGATCACGAAGATCATTCTGCCAATTCCAAAGCCTGGGCAGCCCAAGAGGGACTTTGGATTCATTCACTTTGCAGAGAGGAGCAGCGCAGTTGCTGCTATTGACAAAGATGAGAAATATGAAGTGGATGGTAAGTACGGTGCTCGTGGATGTGCTTGAAGTCGATTGTGAGCTGAACTGGGTGTTGGAATCATGCTCGTGGGTTCTAGTCTTGTATCTGGTTGTGTGTTGAATTTCAGTGAAATAACTATGGTGCCAGCTGGACAAATTCTGAACTATGACCTGTCGTCCCCCTTGCTCTACTCGAATCCAACAGCCGTTGGGTCGAGGGATGGGGACTCGGGTTAGTCACTTTTGTCCCTATCCCCTCTGTCTGTGTGTGTGTGTGTGTGTGTGTGTGTGTGTGTGTGTGTGTGTGTGTGTGTGTGTGTGTGAGAGCGAGAGAGAGAGAGAGAGAGAGAGAGAGAG